TGTAGTATTTTAAAAGCTAACTCCAGTTCCCCACTAGATGTCACCCACGAGTAGGAAAATGTGGTGTCTGTAAAACTGTTCTGTACTCTGGCTTCACAACATATTTAAAGATAGGACAGTGAAAGGAAAGTCGGGGAGAGAAAAAGGGCAAATATTAGGAGGCAAAACATTATTTTCATAGTATAAATTGTTTAATTCTGAAGTCTGAAATACCTCACAGAACATTTAATTCACTGAAGTGTTTTTTATACCGGAAAAAAAATACAATTAAAATCTCTTTAAATATCATTTATTTTCAAATAGCAAAATATTAATTTTTAATGTACAGCTGTGATATGCTCCAAGGTTTATCTCTCAAGTCCCTCACATTTTGCATTGAATATTAATTAAGACATTCGGATACATCTTTGGAAGCATAATACCTAAATGCCTTATTATTTAGTACTCAAAATGCAAGCAATATTGTCCGAGTACATATTTATTTATTATTTATTTATTGGACTTATATACCGCCCCATAGCGCTACAAGCACTCTCCGGGCGGTTTACATTTTTAATTATACAGGCTACACATATAATTTTACCTCTGGGAAATTTACCTATGCTTATGGTAGATAGAAAAAAATGTCTTCCTACATGAGAAGGGGAAGTATAGGGTCTGTAGGAAAACTGTTTTATGAAAACGACCGAAGTGCCACAGGTGCAATTCCTCCTTCAGTTGCTAGGCAGACATTTAACTGAAGAGGACCAAGCCACATGGAAATACAGAGTGGGAACAATTGTCAGTCCCACTGAAAGATGGGAAGAGGTCTGTCTTTGAAGTATGTATCCATGAAACTCAGTTTTATCCTCCTTGACTGAATTCCGTTAATTAGTGGTTTGCAGGCTTTACCTTCCAGGTGTTCTTAGAAGCCCTATGTTACAGCTAGGGATGCTGTAAGGTGTAAATCAAGATGGTCTGAGACCCTGCATTTGGGAATCTCTCCTATGAGCTTATTTCACTGTCAAAAGGAAAGAACAAAGTTAAGCTTCCTTTATAGTCCTCCCTCCCTCCAAAGACCCAATGTGGTGGTGGCATGATCTGGTTAGTGTGTTAGGCAGGGAGTTTGAAATTTTAAGATCAAGTAGCCATTAAGCTATGAAGGTTACTGGGTATCCTTCAGCTAGTCACTCTGTGAGCCTAACCTAAGTCACAGGGTTGTTGTTTTGAGGATAAAGTGAGAAGGATAAGAGTCATGTGCACCACTTCAAGCTCACTGGCATAGAAGCGGGAATATAAGTGAAACTAATAAATCTGTTTTGGGGCTAGACATCTGTGACTTATTCCAAACTGGGAGCTTCCTAGGATAGACAGGGTGACTTAAAGATGTCCATGGAACCAGGAATGGTGGTCTAAGAGGGAGAGAACAGTGAAAAAGTTGAAAACATATTTCACCTGGCCCTTCTGAACATATTTTATGGTATCTCACTTGGAGCAATTAATTTGGAATCAAACCTGTGCTTTAGAGCTGTGTAAGTGATCTTGGTGGGCTTGAGGGATAACAATACTTGGGGACGGGACTGTACATGGATCATATATTACCTGCCATTGCCTTAGAATTTGTGGCCAATATTCTGTTCCCTACTTATATTCGCACAGAATCCCAGCTGCAAAAGTTGCCACTGCACTCTGACAAGAAGCTGAAACAACTGCCATCTCCTCAGATCTCTGCAGCAGCTTTTGTCACTGGAGTTCTGTGCACCTAAATATTGAACAGTACATTATATTTATATATTTACCATTGAAGACCCAATTCATATATTCATTGTTGAATTTTACAACTCATGTGCTTATTAGATTCAGCTAACTGTAGTGTTTTTCCTTTCACTCATTTTTGTGAAGAACACCAGCACAAATGGTGTTAGGATAAGGTTGCATCAGCTGTGGGACGTACTGTGGCTTGAAATCTACTTCTAAATTCTTTTTGAGTTTCAACAGATACCACAGGAGATTATATGTTAGGGCTGGCCTTCCAGAAGTTTTGAACTATAGTTCTTTATTTATTTTTTTCCTATGCTGAGTGGAGCTGGCCCCAGTCATAGGCGAAGCATCTGTTTGATGAGAATAGATTGAAAGGGAAGGACAGAAAAATATTGTCTCAGCTGTATATATGCAAGCTGGTCTTAGAGGAAAAAGCCATTATTCTCAAAGTTGTATCTCACCTTTCTTTGTCTATGATGCAGGAGGTACAGGGCTGCTCTAATATAAAGAGTTGTTTTAAAAATACTGAATAAAATGATTATACAAATGCAGGAGTAGATGATACCTTTGATTGGACCTTATATATGTTCTGAATAGTATGCAAAGGTTTTGGAGAACTTCTGTGTTATATAGTGTTCTAAGATCTAAATCTGCCATTAGTCTCAACTGGAGTAGACCCACTGAATCGGAAGTTTTGATGAGCACACTTATGTAGGTTCCATCACTTCAATGGGCCTACTCTAGTTGGGGCTAACACTTCAAATTAGGCCTCAATATTTTTTTTAAAACTGTAGGTGAAATTAAGTGCACAGCTTACCCTCTCTTTTCTGTTTGTATCATTTGTCAAGCAAAGGAAACTATGTCTGTTATTTTAAGGAATCTTTTGGAATGAACAAAGATTAACTACTTAGTTTATCAGAAAAGCCTGGTCTGGGTTCATGAACTTCCTGTTAAAGTTATTCACAGGTTATTATACTTCCTGTTAATTATTCTAGCTGTGAAATAAGATATGTTGTTTTTAGTGTGAGGGCCTCCATAAATAAGTTACAGAAGAAAGGAGGAAACATATGTGAGCCAGTATATAAACTGGCTGCAAGTGATTGTCTGCTCAAGAATTTATCCTTATTAGGTGACAGGCAGTCAGCATGGGTGCCTGCCCTTCTGACTCTTTAAAACGACTTAGATCCTTAACATTCATACAGCTCAGTGTGAGCTGGAATCACTTTTGATGAGAATAACAAAGCTCCTGTACTATTTAATAGCTGAGTGAAAAAAGAGGACCTTTCAGTAGATGTCCTTGTATTCCTTAATGTAGGACTGTACTGTGAAACATCTGTCCCTTCTTAATGTGTTCTTCTGTGTCCTGTTAAAGGTACAGCAGCTTTGCTATCTGTTGCAGCTGATTATCCCAAGATTCAGTGGAGACATTTGTAAATAAGGCTTCTGCTTATTTAATAATAAACATGTGTTATCAAGTCAATTCTAACTTATGGCATCCTGTTCCAGCATTTTCCAGGTAGCGAATACTGAGAAGTCATTCACTATTCCCTTCTTCTAGGGGTGCTCTGGGACCGTGCAGCTTGCCCAAGGTCATACAGGTTGGCTCTACTCGTAGGAAGCACAGTAGGGAATCAAACTTTCAACCTTTAACTCCCACAGTCAAATGCCTAAACCACTGAGCTATTGAGCCTCTACTTATTTAGAACTGATACTCTTAATTTTACTACAATTAATTCTGAATAGAATGTAACAATTCTATACAGAATTCTTTAAATAGAATTTCTCTTAATTTTGAAAAAACACTACAATATCTAGGTTATTAAATCTGGAGCTGTTTCAGTAAAAACAAAAATGTAAGCTGGAAGCACTCTAATGAAAAGGAGACGCTTCATGTATTATCAGGTTTATTTCAACAGAAACAGTATCTGATAGGACTAATGTAAGACGTGCACCTCCACAGTCCAAACTTCTGTTGAATAGCATGGCTCTCTTCCATGGACTTCTCAAACAAAGGCTATTTCTACCTCTGCACCTCTGTTAATCTTCTAATAAATTATATATAGGAAGCCTTCTTTTGCTGAGTGACATATTTCAGAACTTATTAAAATCACTTATAATTAAGTCTAAATAGATGTGATACCTGTACTTTTAAGACATGCTTACTTAGAAAAACATTGTTACATGACAGAAGAAACATAATAGAAAGTGAATGATGAAACACAGTAGCCAAATAGTAAGATATCATTACAGGGAAGCTTCCTTCTCAGGTTTATGCAGAAAAAGAGGAAAACAGTGACTTCAGAGTCACCTTAGAGGGGCTCCAGAGCCCTTCAAGGCTCATAACTGCCCTATAAATAACTTGCCCGTGATCCTAAGAATAGAAATTCTGTAATTTCTCTTCCTAGGCATGTTGAGAAGGTTGCTACACTGCTGAAATGTGCCATCTTTCCACCTGGAGGCCACCTGTGTGATTTTGTCTGACTTGATACCTAAGGCCGGCTTTCTGAGGTAAAGCAGGGGGACCTCTCTAGACTTAAACAGAATGAATGGGACAAAAAAAAAAAAAAAAAAAAAAAGCACTGTGAAACCTGGAGTTAGCCCACGGTGGTTCAGTGGAACTAGCTTATCTAGCCTAGTCCAGTGAGTGGTTTCCTCAGGAGCCAATGTCACTAAGCTGCAGAGTAGCTACATACAGTTAAGCATGCGGACGTTGAGCTTGTTTCTAATATCATTTCAGAGAAAGTTAGGGACCCGCTGGGAATCTTCTTTTCCTAGTTATACAGTACATCTCTTGTCATTTTGCCTTCTTCGTTGTTACTCCTGCTCCAGCCTATTTGGTTCTCACGAAGGAAAAAAAACAGCATCTTTTTTTTAAAGCTTCGGGAACCAATAGGAAACAAACACAAAACATATTCGGAGCCAGAACTCGACATTTTATCGTCTGAAAGTAATGATTTTGCGCTAGCGGGGCCACCGCCCGCCTCAGATCTCTCACGATTTCCCTCCCTTTCCAACTTCGTTCGGAACTTTGTTCTAGCCAGGGCAAAAGTAAACGTCGAACCCCTTTGGTTGGCTGCCGTTGCCTTCAACGCATGGAATCTCCATTTCTACAATCCCTTCCTTCTCTGTTTTAATTCTCACCCGCCTATCTTATTCTGGGGAGCAGCCGAAGCTGAGCCCACCGAGGCAAAAGCCCCACAAACCGCGCCGGAGTTCGCCAGTGGCAACGCCCCCTCCTGGGAAGGAGAGGCTTCTCAGACATGACGAGCAGGGCCCGGGAGCCTCTTTTAATAGTTGCCTCCGCTGCCCATCAAACAAGGGAAGGAGGCGGGCGCTGCTGCCCGCCGGATCGTGGTACCTGCGAGCACCAGCCGCAGCTGCTCACTCCCATGAGGGACGCCCGGAGCCCGGCCGCGCCGACGGGGCTAGAGCGCGCGCAGCTGGGATTACCTCGAAAGCGCCTCCTTTTGCGCGCCAGCCTATTGTGAGGGGGGAGAAGCGGCGGGTTTGGGGGAAAAAAGGGCTTTGCCCTCCTGCGGAGGAAGGGAGAAAGGAAGGAAGCAAGCAAAAGAGAAGGGAAGGCGTCTGTGCGTGTGTTTTTGGCATTTGTTGGTGTTTGTTCCACACTCGGCTTTCTTCAGCTTTTCCCACCCGCCGGTCCCTCGGTCAGGAACCTCCACTTTTCCGTGTTGCGGACTTTCACTTTTGTCGGTGAAACGAGGTTTGGCAGCAGGGTTGCTTCCTCAGTCAGAGGAGGAGGAGGAGGAGGAGGAAGAGGCGCGCACCAGCCGCCCGGCTAGCCCGGCTGAGACAGACGCCAAGCGGAATTCCTCCACCCCTTGGCGAGCGGCACTCCTCGGAAGCGGGAGGGCAAGCGCTCCATGTGTGAGAAAGAGGCGAGGTGAGAGAAGAGGTTGCACCTGAACGGCGACGTTTCCAACCCACCTACCCCCCCTCCGTCCCGGTGGAAAGGCTGTGGAGAAGACCTCTGGCACGACACCCCCGAGGGACAGGGCTGAAGGGGGGGGGTTATGGGGTTAATGACTATGAGGGAGGCTCCAAACCCTCACCGGGTCCCCCTCCAATGAATTAGCGCTCCCACCCCGAAGGCGAAGGGGTGGGAAAGAGAGGGCAGAGTAAGCGAGAGCGGAGGAACCGCGCGAGGCCAGCCTGAGCCGGGAGTTGAAGGCGAGCAACAGGTAGGAGAGGCGGGGAGAGCGATGCCTTTGCGGCTGCGCTGGCTCTGGTGGTGGGCGCTGGTGTGGAGCGGCAGCCGCTGCTGCTGCG